TCCGAGATGTGGATTACGCAGCTGTTCTTAGGAGGCGGGTGCCATGGCTGTTCTAGGGGGGACACCACTGTTCCTATCCTGCACAAAACACTACGGTATCCTTCTCCCAGAACAATGGCGGAAGCCCCCCCCCCCTCCTCCCCCTCAACATCTGCAAATGCCAAGCACAAACGAGAACCGAAAGAACGCCGACTCCTCCTCCCTCCCCCCTCTCTTTCCTCCTTCCCCGTCCTTCCCCCCCATCCCACTCCACCCAACACCGACCGCCCCCAACACCGACCGCTCCCAATACCCGCCGACCCCCCTCCCAACACCCCTCTCCCCCAACACCGTTCCCCTGCCCTACACCGCGCACAATCACCCACCCCCGAGCCAAACAAACCCACAAGTGAGCAGCGTCAGACCGCTCAGCGAGGGGCTGTGACAATATATCGCATTGTATCGTACTCACAAAATAGTGCTTTGCAATTGCACTGTATAATGCAGCCCAATATCACCGCTTCGAGAAGATGCATGTCCAGGACGGGAAAAGGGCGGAAAAAGCGGGTGGAGAGGGTGGGGTAAGGGCAGGGAAATTTGATGAGGTACTTCAAGGTCTGATGCAAAAACGGATGATCGCACCGGCTCGCCTGGTGCGTTCCAGTCTGGGTTTTAAATAAAGCAAGATGCTGTGTCCATAGAGAAAATTTTTCTACCGCTTGAGCCGGCGAAATGAGATTTTGACGAAATTTGCATAAAATTTGCTGTTTAGGTGTTTACGTTTGTATATTTCAAAGTCTGTTGCGCCTACTGCCGATGGCAGCAAAATCGTCGACGCGTGCGTCGAGCAGCACTTAGCTTTCGATATCATCCAAACGCCGCAATGAATGTGCGTAGAGGTTAGCAGCAAGTCAGATCAAAATATCTCCTGTACTTAATTTTTAAAAAGAAAGAAAGAGGAACAGGAGAAACAGAGGAAGGGTTCAAGTGGTAGCGTGCATACCAATAGTAATTTCCCTTCCAGCAAGATTATTGATGACTTTTTCTTCCGACGGTTGCACAGAAACAAGCTGATGGCGATTTGACTCTTTGGCACGTACTAGATACTAATTTAGCATTAAAATGAAGGAACGAATCGTAAACGGACTGGTTTTTTCACCGAAACTGTCGTACTTCTCAACATCTGGGACAAAAAAAAGCTATTTGCCACCATGTCCGGTGTTGTGTAAACAATGCAGTGATGCAAAAAATGAGGTGCTTTTTCGGCTGCTCTGTCCAGACAAATTTACAGCGGCATTGACTAAACGCATGCATATGAAATGCTTTGTGCCGGTGAAGAGAAGGATCTTTTATCAAACCGATGGGTGGATTGGAGAGCATCAATCTATCGTCCACCGTACCAGCAGCGATCACTGAATAGCTTTTATTTTGACCAGAACTGATTTTCATGATAAAAACACAGCTCAGTGCAGGGGTCGCAAGCGATAGCATTCTCTCAGCCCAGGAGTTGGTTTCTTAGCCAACGCTATTTCGTTTCGAGGACTGGTTCTAATATGGCTGGAGATCAATTGTGCGGCCAGTATGCTTCTCAGACAAACTTCGAATTGAGGTAGCAGTGTCTCTGTCAAAGTGATCTGGATTTTCACCCTGACAGATAAATCTCTAACCTTTAAAGTGATCTGGATTATTAAAAGCGGCAAAGATACTGTGTGCTATATGCGCATCCTAAGCTGGAACATTTCCAGGTCCAACAGGCCGTTACGGTCAGCGCTATGCTGGCATAAGAAGACATGGAAGCCTGACACGAGCGCACGGTACTCGTGTCAAAGGTACTTTCAGCGATACAAAAAGTGTCCGCAGTTCACGGAGCTTCAATCGCTATGATAAATTCGACACAGCATCGCTTCCCGGTCGTAGAAATCTAGCTGCTGCTTTAAGTAGCAGATCACCTTATGATTCGATACAGAAGTAAGTTTCATACAAGAATGCTGAAAGTGCACACAGATTTAATGGTATTATACAGACAGCCAAAATTACAAGTAAGTCTCGGTATTCTTGGTACAAAAAATAAAATTTTTTGAAGATATGGGTGACAGAAAGATGGGCAATACAAACGACAGTTCTGACAGACTTTTGAGCCAGACTTTCGAGGAACATAAGTTAAAGTGCGTCAAAATCAACTAGAACCTGGATGAGTTAAGAACAAGTAGGATTTTTTGGAAACAATGTAAAATGCACAAAAGCTGATGATGGACTTGAAAAAAAAGTGGAAAAATTGGGTCTTTCTTATCAATTCTAAACCTCTGAAAGGCTGAGGTATTCAGAAGTAGCTCGAGCAACAGTATTTCGACGGCTGTACTCAATCACTGGCGATATGTCGCCGGTGTTGAAGGAAACTGTTCAGAACTGTTAATTTCGTTTATTAAGACGACTCGCGCTTTTTTCGAGCTTGCATCGCTCTCTCACTCTCTTGTCATTTTCTTATTTTTGTGCGTTTTTACATAGAATTTAAAGACTACCCTCTGTACTCGAAATAGAGTCTTGCAGAATTATCGAGTATAGATTATCTCTGAGTCGATAACTCCAAAGTAATCACTAACAGTCTTCAGAGCCGCCGCAGTTGAGATCCGCCGCTGGTGTGTTCAGCCACCTCCTCGACCGTTTCTCCCGTATCCGCTACTGTTGTGATGTGTCGCTTCCTCGAACCGTTTCTTTCCAAATCCGCCGCTGTTGAAATCCGCCGCTGGTCCGTTCCGCTGCTGATGCGATACACCGCCGCTCCTCAGACCGTTTCTTCCCAAAAAGGGTAAAGGTTCCGGCGATGACCCCCTTGTTGATATCCCTAAAGTGCATCCCCGCCCATCTCATTGGGCGGCGAATATACTGCCCTAATCGATCAGCATAGCTTCCTCGCTTTGGCGACACCCTCTTTGGAAACATCTATTAGAAGCACTGTGGAGATCTGCATAAATTAACACCTGCACAAAACGTTTATTGTCTTTAAATTATTGCGGCGCGTTCTGGTATTAAACTGGCACCCATGACAAGTAGCCCTGTCGGGCCAGTCTTGAAGAGACGAAGCTAGAATCCATAAGCGGAGGAAGCGGATAGTAAGTGAAAGTTGCTGGCTTAGCAACGCCACCGGGCGGGCCCGTGCGACCACGCGTTTTTGCAATATTTTGTGCTGTAGTAAGATCGCTATGAGTCTAGCAGCTGGAGTTTGTGGCATACTGGTCCTCAAAGCTGTGGAGGTAAATTGTGCAAATATGCTGTACTTGGTCAGGAAATATCCCCTTAAAATTTCAGCCTCCCGGTTCCGCTAGTTCCCGAGCTAGCAATTTTCCCGCCAAAAATTTTCACTGGTCCATACGTTGGAACAACGCACGCCTGGGGACTGAATTTGAAACCTTTGATTTCTCTGTGGACGGAGAAAATAACCTCAAAATTTCAGATTTTTAGCTTTTATGATTAGCAATTTTCCCGTCAAAAGTTTCACGCGCTCGTAAGCGAGGCCCGACATGCGCGAAGGTTGATGCCGCGGTCCTGGTATGGCACTTTGCCAGGGAATCGACTGGTAAAATTTTGGCGTCGGAGCTTGCTTGGTTGCCGAGTTGAAATACCCGGCCAGATGC